TCTTCTTCATCGACCAAAACCTTCATTCTCTCCTCCTTCCGTCTCAACAACATCACCAATCCCTCAATCCAACCACATCGCCCTTTTTCCTTCAGTGGCAACCATCACCATCTCCGATTCTCTACCTTCGCTATGAAAACCATCGATATCCAAAGAGGGATCCACCGCTACTAATCCGTCAACCACAAAAAACCCTAGCCGCCGCGAAGACTTCTTCTTCTTCCCCTTCAAGAACTTTCCACCGTAACCTCAACACATCACCACCTCAAACTGTAACACCCATATTAATTATTTAGTCTTTCTGGTATTATTTTTATTTCGGCGTGTCTTTTGTGGAGATTATTTAAGAAACTATAGACTTTAATATTAATATGATATAATTAATAATGATAGTAATTTAATAATCAATAGTAATATTATTATTATTATTATTTGTATTATTATTAAGGTTAAATGAATAAATAAGGAATAAGGGGTTTAAGAGGGGTATTAGAGAGTTTTTGGAAGGAAGGAGAAAAAACACGATCAAGTGGAGAGAAAGATTGAGGAGGAAGAACTAGAGGAAGAAGAAGAAAGCTAAGGCTGTCGGATTCTTGGGGGTTCTTCATCAATCGAAGCAATTAATCAAGGTAAGGGGGAGAAACTGATTGGGATTGGTAATTTCATGAATTGGCTAGAGGGGATTCCTTAACCCCATAGGGATTTTATGAATATGATTAATATGTTGTTGTGTTTCTGATCATTGTTGTCATGGTGAACTTCTTGCATGTGGTTGTATAAGGATTGGTTGGATGGTTTGAGTGATTCTGAGTAGTTTACAGTTTTAGGTCGAAAATGATGTAATCGGTAGAATTGATGTTTATCGGGTAAAATCTGAAATAAATCATGTAGTTTAGTCGTAGAATGTTAGGCTAAGACTACAGGGACTGGTTTGGTGAGAATCAAATGATTTTTGAGCTTCTGATGAATTTATGGACAATGAGGGTTTTGTGAAATCGCAGACGTTCGCCAGCACCTTTGCTGAGCGAGCTAGTAGCGAGCATTCGCTAGGCGAGTTGGGTAGCAAGTACTTCCAGTATCCACTGTCTGCCTTCGCTAGCAGGTTCGCTAGGTGAGTGAGGTAGCGAGCGTTCGCTGAGGCCTCGCTAGGCGAGCGTGACAGCAGCTTGTTCTATTTTTGTGGTTCCATCCAATGTTGATGTTTTGTAGGATCCCTTTTGTCACGATGAGTATAGGGACAATGTTTAATGGTGAGGAATGTATACTTGGTGTTAGAATGTGGAATTCCTAATGTTTAATGTAATTAACATAATTGATTGGTGTGTATATATATATATATATATATATATATATATATATATATATATATATATATATATATATATATATATATATATATATATATATTGTATGGTGATGTGATCAGGAGGATCGCGTGCACTTAGTGTGCTTGAGTTTGTGTGTTTTGCATTTGGTGTTGTGCATATCATGGTGTTATGGTAGGATGAATCATGTCTCAGGAGGAGTGTAAGTGATTCATCCGTACTCCTTTATGGAGAATGGTGGGGTTGAATCATGTCTTAGGAGGAGCTTAAGTGATTCACTCGTACTCCCTTATGGAGAATGGTGGGGATAGATCATGTCTCAAGAGGAGCGTAAGTGATCTATCCGGGGTTCGATTGAATGAACCAATGAGTCAGTACCACATGCATGGTATTGAGTTGCATTCTTGCATTATTGTATGTTGTGTTGATGATTGGACAGTAGGTCGTGTTTGATGTTGGTGGGGTGATGATTTGTATATTTACTGCCTTTTATTCATGTATCCTATTACCGATAACTTTGATCATGTTTTCTCACCCCTTTGTGTTGTTGTGGTCTGTGCTTCTTCAGAAGTACAGATAATCCAGGTACATAGCTAGCTTGGATAGTGGTGTGCGAGTCGAGTCTTAGGATGCTCTGATACGTAGCATGGTACTTGGGAGTTTATTTGTTTTGTGATAAATTTGTTTATTCCTGTGACGTATCCTATTTTGGGGAACCTTGATAATGAATGATGTTTTATGTAAATTGGCGGATGGCCAAGAATGATGTACTAATGATGATTTCCACTACTTTATTTTGAAAATTATATAATGAAGTGTTTTGTTGAATTTTATGATGTGATATCCCACTATTGATGGAAACCTCTGATATTTATTTGATTTAATCATGTTTTATTTTAATTTGGGAAAGTGGGGTGTTACACAAACCACCGTTTAGCTACCAACAACCAACAACAATAGACTACGCCTCATCCGAAGATTTAACTAAGCAGCGGCTCAAATAGTCAAGCTCATCCGCGATTCATCGCCGTGGCTTGTTGTAATGAGAGCGAAACATGGTGAAGCTTTAATCTGGACTCTTTGGTGTTTTAATCTTCTTACGAGTGCGTAATGGCAACGATAACACGAGCTCGACGACACCACTCTTCTGTAATAATCTGCAGTTCGATTCGAAATAACTGAACAAAACAACTTGTCTTGGTTGGTTTTTTTTATTTTTGTTTATGTTGTTATTTCTAATTTTATGTTTGTTATGTATGGAACAATAGGATTTGATGTTGTTTATACTCTGGTGTTGTTAAATTTCATGAGCTGTTTAATTTGAACACAAATTGGTTAAGTTTTGTTCAAGTAATGCCGTTCTATTTCGCTGTAATTTTGCTTTGGAATATTTCAATTGTCTTTGGTACATCGTTGAGTTGGAGAAAATGAGGGATATGGTATGATGTTTAGATTTTTTTACGGTGTTTATCTTCGTTTTGACTCTGTTGTTTCGAGTTTCGAGTTTGAGTGTTTAAAATTGTATTGCTCTTCCTGTTGCTGATGATGTCGCGTTGAATTGGGTATGATTTACGGTGAGGATGAATAATGGAGCCACCACCACTTTCTTTGAGTTTCCGGATTAAGTTCCGGTATTTCCTTTCCACTGATGAAGGCCTTTAATTAAGTTTGTGTTGATTAACCATTCACTTGAACTCTTGATATTTTTGGTGCATTTTGGATAAAAGGTATTAAATGTTAACTGGTGAATAATGTAATGATTAATAGGTAATTTTGATAAAAGATATTTTTAAAGGTCTTTTAGAATTTCATATTTTATTTCTAACTAAAATTTATTTTTATTTAAAATTTAATCTATTAATTAGGTTCTTAGGAAGAATAGAGAAAATCCAGAATATTTTTATAAACAAAAACCTTGGACTATTTTCAAACTTATTTTTAAAATATGATTAATCATTTTTCCTAATTAAATCGTGAAAGAAATGAATTCTCGAGGTCTAGCACCTTTTGGATTCTTGAATGACCACTATTTAGGCGTACGCCTTGGATAGTGTATCATTCAACTTATTGTTCCTAAAATACACCCTTTAAGTTATTTAGACAAAGAAATGTCATTGGAGTCTAGCATTCCACATGATATTTTCATTGTCTATTCAAACAATATTTCGTAAATTGATAAAATGAAAAAAGGTGTCGTTGGGATCTAGCATCTCGATAATACCCCGATTAATTGGTTGTGAGGCCTGTTGCACCCCAAAATCTGCCTTCACTTTTTATAACATTAACTGGCTTTTATTTGCATTCATCTGCATCTCCATTAGTTCATAATTTCATAGTCATACTTTATATCGGTCTTCTGAGACATGGGATCAGGAGTTTCTCTGAGTTGGGGCCTCCTATTGGCCTTGAGGTATTTTCATTCAAGTTTGACAGAAGGGTTGTCAAGGAAAATGGTTTAGCTTCAAATCAAGGATGGTTATTCAGATATGATCAGATGGAAGTTTGACCTAATTTTGGTCAAACCATCAAGAACCTGTTTTCTTTTTTCAAGTTGCCTGCATCAGTGGCTATTTCTCAGGCAATGGGTATTCAAGGCCAATTTGTTCTATATTGGAATTCATCAAGTTACCAAGCAGTGGATCGTGTGAGGTTTGGTCCAGAAGATCAGGTTCATCTTGTGTTCCTTTGTGAATTTATTTTCCCGGGAATTTATTCAAGAAAACTCAAAGTGATTCAGGATTCATTTGATCAGAGATTCAGAGTTTGGCTCACTCAAATGGTTGTTGTTTTTGTGGCGAGTTGCTCAGTGGTAGTTGTGTGCACTTAGTCGGATGTTGTTAAAAAAGTTTTAAGTAGGTCTTGGACTCATTTGGTTATTCAGCCTTTAAACGGGATTCATAATCCGTTCTAGCCCATTTTCTTACCGTAAACCCTTCATCCATTTCCATTTCCCTTTTGGGCACTATAATAAGATGTTTATCTCTTCATTTTTTTCCAACCCATTTCCCTCTATGTTCTAATGTATTGCTCATCCATATCTTCTTAAAACCTATTTCCGAATCCAAATAAAATAACACCACCATCGTTCTCTCTCTCCTCAATTCATCAATCTCTCTCTCTCTCTCTCTCTCTCTCTCTCTCTCTCTCTCTCTCTCTCTCTCTCTCTCTCTCTCTCTCTCTCTCTCTCTCTCTCTCTTCCTTCCAAAATTTTGAATTTCTAGATCCATGGCTTCTTCCTCAGACCCTCCTTCTTCCAGGCACCACACCTACGACCATGAATGAAAATCCCTCGGCCTCTTATTCACCAACTTCTAAAGCTTGTACAATCGAGATAACATTCATTTAGTCGGTCTCGACGACGCTGCCGCCAGATTAGGTGTTGAGAGAAGACAAGTCTATGATATTGTCAATGTTTTGGAGATGCTTATAATTTATCAATAATGAGAACAAGTTAGACACCTTTACGATATTGCATATGTGATAACCTCCATGAACCTTATTGAAAAGGCACATACCACTGATACACACAAAACCAGCATTTAGATGGCTAGGATTGAAAAGGAAAGCATGGAATGAGGCATCGCTTTACAATTCACATCAAATCGAGTCTAAAAAACGGCATTTGGAAATGATGTCACAAACATTAGCTTTGCAAGGAACGGAACCGATTTGTTCATGTCTGGAGACTTCAGTCAGAACTATAAGAAACAAAAGACAATAGAAAACGGTAGTGGGCTTGGTCCGGAAGATAAAAAGCAAACTTCCACAAACTACCAATTCGGTCCTTTTGCTCCAACCTTCATATCCAAATCCGGAACTTCTGAGAATACTAAAGTGAAGCAGGCGCATGATTGGGAGAGTCTAGCAACTAAACATTCCCCTCAGTACCAAAATCAAGCTTTGAAAGAACTTCACTTGCACTATATGGAAGCATGGAAATCTTGGTACTCTGAAGTTGCTAGGAAGAGGTCAACACGAGTTTTGTAACTTATAAATCTAACAAAAAATTAAATAAGATATCTTTTTTCCAAGAGAGATTATCTGTTACTGCAGTTCCTTGAACAATGATATGCGCAGGATATGGGCAAGTAGTATAGGCGTGCTTAATAGATGCAGGAAGAAATAACACATAGCAAAATTCATTCACAACAGAGATATAATGACCCACAACAATTTCATATGCCAAAAGAGAGAAGATTATATATGGATGAGAGAATATTACACAACAATGTTCATAATGTTGAGGACTTTTTTATGCCTCATTTACATAAGCTTCTCATTACACAATTCTTTTACATATCTTCAACTCAACCAAAACGCTTACCATTTTCACTTGCCGTCATCATCGCCATGAGGAGAATTTGTTTCAGCTGTTGCGGTTTTGCTTCTAAATGGTAGTCTTGGGTTACTCCCTACATTCATTTTCGCGAACTGGTTCAATCTTGACACAACTGTTTCATCTCAACCATCGAATTTGCTCCAAAAGTTGTTAGTCGCGTCACCAATCAGCAAGCCTCGCCCCATTTCTGATATGCAACGCTGAAATTCTAGGTACCCAACGGTGGATGTTATCACGGATGTTATGACATCCACAGTAACACAGACTACAAAACTTAATGACAAACTGTAAATGAAACCAGTAAATAACATAAGTAATTGTTTACCTAGTTCAGTGCAAACCACACCTACATCTGGGGGCTACCAAGCCAGGGAGGAAATTCATTATTAGTAGAATTAATTCAGAGTCAAACAACTAGTTTGCACTCTTCACTTAAGACCTACCCAATGACACTTCAGCCTAACACTAGACCTGAGTTACCAACTCACTCCCCCTCAATCACAACAGTGATATTAACCAATTCAAAGTTACAAATAAAATTGAAGACACTCTTCAAACACACCTTGATCTTGCTTCACAGCTTTGATAAAGTGACACAACACTCTTGCTTAAAAGCTTAGAGTGACACACTTAGTAGACAACTTAAGAACTCTAGACCAATGCAATCATACAGCATATAATCGTTTGGTTTACAAGTATTCCTAAGACACACAAAAACACGTGAAGAACAAAATTTTTCACTCACAAATACACGTTCTCTAAAACCCTGTCAAGAACTGTCTTCAAATAGGATTGCTACTTCTGTATATATAGGCAGCATACAGTCCTTGGGACTTCGTGCAGAAGTTAGGTTTACCCAAGATAAACCTCTCTTCATGAAACTATGCACGTCCAATTAAGTTAGGGGCATTCCATGTTATCCTCAGCAATGCCTGATATGTCGCCTGAGATAACTAGGCTTCCTAAAATGTTTCCTGAAGTATAGCCTGAGCTAATACTAGAAACTAAAACCTGTGTGCACTGATGTCATGCGCTTGATTTCATAACATTTAACATGACATCCAACTTAACTTGCTCTTAGCTATCCCAACTTACCCTGCAGAACACCCTTCATGTATGTCATAACATCAATTATGACATTCACACATACTCCAATGTTTTGCCACAAAATGCAGCCAATCAAAAGCATCTACAAATTCCCCCTTTGGCAAATTTTTGGTTAAAATACTTTGTTACCATATCAGAGATCACAAGCAGCAGAAATCATACCATATATGTAGGAAAGCTACTATCTAATAACACACACAACTACATTACCATATCAGAGTCATCTTCACACCCTAAGAACTACCTGCTAGTCCATACTACAGGTATCACAATAATCTGTGGATCATCTTGTGATACTCCCCCTCAACTGATGCACAACACATCAGTGCAAACATAACCTGCACAACCTGTAGTCACACATATTTATCCAGACTGCTCTGGATTATGGATGTCAGGACATTCAGGATGACATCCTAAAGAACACAATCACCTGTTAGCCTAGACTACATATGTCACAACTTTCTGTGAAACATCTTGTGCTACTCCCCCTGAAATGATGCATAGCCATACACATTCTGCAAACACACTGCAGACACACACAAATCTAGCAGCTATACTACTACTAGGTTCCATCAAGGAACACACACACATCTTAGCCGCTTCAGCCAAAACTCACACATCTAACATACATTCCTACACATATTAGGAACTCACATAGCAGCAACAGCATCCTATTATCACACCTGCAAGAATATTCAGTTCAAACATGCATATTAGCAGCAACACCTGTATCACACTTAGAGCAGCAACAACAACCAAGTCTTCCACCTAATCTTCCACCTGTGAAGAACACAAATCTAGCCTTGTTGTTACTACCACTTCTCCCCCTTTTTAGCCACAAATTTAGATCAAACTAAGTAAATAGTATAGATCAAAACAAGTATGGAAGCACAGATGTTAGGGGTCATTACAACATAAAGCTCATGAAGAGCAACACAAATATTTCATATTCTCACATTAGAACAAAATCTAAGCGAGAAAAAAAAAACTAGTCACACCAGCAGCAGTTCATCATCAGCCCAAGCACACCATCATCCTGAGCCACACATCAGTCTACCAACACATTAATCTTCCTCCTCTTCAGCAGAGCTGGAACTACCCTCCTCAACACTAGTTGTGGCATCTTCATCGTTATCTTCAGATTCTTCCCCTGGAACACTCTCACTATCAATATTAACAGCATCTCTTTCAAGACTTTGAATGAAGGATTCTAGCTTGATTTTTCTTGCAGTGGCAGTCCTGATAGTTTCCCATAATTCCCTACAAGTTTCTCTTAATTCAACAATGATCATTGCTTTTGAGATATTGGCCTTCTCCTCAGAAGTCAAAACAATATCAGGGACATGTCTCCCAGCAAAGAGTTTGAAGTGAAGAGACAGTGCAAACTCTCTTTTGCTATCAGCATCACTAGAGTTCAGAATCCCAGGGTATTGATTCAGAATAATCTCACAAATAAGGGAGGGAAAAGCAATGGGCAGCTTGATAGCACTAGTTGTAGAGTGCTTAATAATCTGATAAAAAATGTACAGGCCAAAATCAAAGTTAACTTTGGTGCATACAACATGAATGAACTTGTCAAGCCCAATTCCAATGGTGGATGTATGGTTGGTAGGCACCCAATTAGCAGCTCCAATTCTATGCAGAATGGCATATTTTACACTGAGTTTTCCTGCAAATAGCTTCTCTTTGGATGGCCATGTCTTTACCTGATTTGCAGTGATGATCTTGCAAACCTAGTTGTCTGAAATAAACAACTCTTTCTCACCACTATTTGACAACTCTTTCTCACCACTATTTTCACGTCCCAAACATCTGTTGATCACAACAGGAAAGAATTACACACACTTTCCTCTGACAAACACCTTCATGTACTCTTTGTTATGCCTATTTGTGATTAGATCAGGTATGTTTACAATGAACTCATTTACCAGTCCTTCGTAGCATTTGGAGAACCCAGTGACTGTCTTGAGTAATCCAACCTTGTTGATTAGATCCATTACCTCCTTGATTTCCAAAGCATCCTTTCCCAATTCTCTTTCAAGAGCTATTCTTCTTTGATAGATATATCTCCACTTGGGCACACTGTGAATAGAATGAAAAGAGATGTTGTCTAGAGGGGCAACTGGCACAGGTTTGAGAGGTTTCTTAGCAGAAGATTTTTTTACATGAAAGATGTTAGGAACATCTTTCACAACATCACCATCAGACTCAGAGTTGTTAATAGAAACTTTTCTTTTCTTGGATGTAACTGACACCTTGCTCCATGCCTTGGGGGGGGGGGGGGGGGGGGGGCTACAGGAGTTTTCTTCTTTTGCCTTTTGGGAGGAGATTCCTCAAGCACAACTTTTCCTTTCCTGGTCACAAGTCTCTTGGATATACCAGGGGCTGCATTCTTGATGAGCTCATCATCTGATGACACATCTTCAACAGTTACACCATTGCCAAGAACATCATTCATGACATCCCCATTATTCGTATTCTTGGCTTCATTTTCATTATGGCCAAAATCATGACCTTCCTCATGTACCACAGAGCTGGCAAGATTCTCTAAGTTCTCAGTGTTAGGGTTAGTATCAGTAGAGGGAAACTCAGTATTACCTTCATTGTTCTCACTAGGGATTGGGGATGGATCAACCCGAGATAGAGGGGTGGTGATCCCATGCACATTGTGTCCTTCCAAGAGAATCTTGGTGGCCAGTTCATTGATAGAACTGTCCACATAGGCAGAGCCTTCCATTCTATTAATGTTGTCCATGGAAGATTCAGGGGTTTTACCTTTAGAAGATTGTTTTGCATGTGGAGGAGCAGAATTTGGGTCTTCACTAACCTTTCCAGAAACCATATTGAGAGGAGTGATATCAAGGACATCATCTAGAGAGACACTCATGTGGTGAACATGGTAAGACTTAGTAGTATCGTGTCTGGTAGGGATGGATTTTTGTTGTTGAGACATTGTAGGGGACTGTGTCCTTGAGAAGGAGGGTTTTTTGTGGTTGTAGAGAGAGGTATGAAGGATGAAGACTTGGAGTGGGCACAAACTAAAGCAGTCGGATAGTGTGTAGGGGTGTGATTTCAAAAGAGGAGGGAAATCAATATTTTGACCAATCAGCAGATGATTAATTTTCAACATATAGTTCCCAATTTTCATTAATTGCTATAATTTCTCAACCAACCTCCATCCTCACTTGCTTCTTACATTTTCACTTAGAGTAGTTTTGCGATCCCTTGTGATAATGTTAGCCCTTTGTATGTCAGAGTCCTTAAGCTTCACACTATCTTCTCTAGAGTGATGTCTGTTATTACTATGTATTGCTCTATTAAGCTGAATGGAGTTCATATTGAAGTTACTAAGAGTGTCACAGAATAATGTCATGACATCCTGAGTGACATTGCTTCTTTTATGATGATCACCTTTCATGGACTCCATTCGGTTCCAGTATAACAGATCTAGATTTTTATGATGTCCATTCTTTGGATGTCCTTTCTGGGCTTGCCTACCAGCCTGACATTTTCCACAACCTGTTCTATCATCTGGAGTTAG